CAGCTCCGTGACAAAAAACCGCATATATTTGTCAATGTGGTCGCAGATTTACCTACCATAGGGTCATAAACACTAATGTAAGACGTATATGTCAAATATGTATATTATATGTCAGTATAACTTTAAACGAAGGCCTAGATTAAGGTAGAAAGAAATGGGAAAGGTTGAATGGTACCTACCAAACAGCAGACAAAAAATGGAAGAGGTCGACTTTCTTGTGGAGGTCTTGTATTTATAACACAGATATACGATAACCAGCTGACATTTCCCAAGCAATCCTGTGATCGGGGAGGTGAGTGACTCCTGTACACTTACACACCCTTCAGGGACTGGAGAGTCTCGCTTGATGTGCCTGTCAGGGAAACTAACGATTCATGACATCATCGTCAAATTATCTTTACTGTAAATTTGACTTTGCAGAATACTTGACGTGGATTGCGTGTGTGCTTGGGTGAATATTGTTTGACACCACACAGAGAAACCCGAGATTTATTTATGAACAACGCCTCGCGCTGATGGCGTACGATGACACGTAATCCCCGGAGTGTTTGATTGAGTGTTTGAGTGACTTTTGAGTGAGTTTTTGAGTGTGTTTGAGTGAGTGTTTGATTTAGTGTTTGGGTGAGTATTTTAGCGATTGTTTGAGTGAGTTTTTGAGTTAGTGTTTGAGTGAGTGTTTGAGTGAGTGTTTGAGCGAATGTTTGAGTGTTTGAGTTAGTGTTTGAGTGAGTGTTTGAGTGAGTGGTTGAGTGTGAGTTTGAATAAGTGTCTGTGAGAGTTGTTGAGTGAGTGAGAGCTTGAGTGAGTGTTTGTGAGAGTGTTTGAGTGAGAGCTTGAGTTGGTGTTTGAGAGAGTGTTTGAGTGAGTGTTTGAGTGAGTGTTTGAGTGAGTGAGAGCTTGAGTGAGTGTTTGAGAGAGTGTTTGAGTGAGTGTTTTAGAGAGTGTTTGAGTGAGCTTTTGAGTTAGTGTTTGAGTGAGTGTTTGAGCGAATGTTTGAGTGGTTGAGTCAGTATTTGAGCGAGTGTTTGAGTGAGTGTTTGAGTGAGTGGTTGAGTGAGAGTTTGAATAAGTGTCTGTGAGAGTGTTTGAGTGAGTGAGTGAGAGCTTGAGTGAGTGTTTGAGTGAGTGTTTGAGTGAGTGAGAGCTTGAGTGAGTGTTCGAGAGAGTGTTTGAGTGAGTGTTTGAGAGAGTGTTTGGGTGAGTGTTTGAGTGAGTGTTTGAGTGAGTGTTTGAGTGAGTGTTTGAGAGAGAAATGCACTCTTCAAACAGTAACGAAATAGGTAGTTTCCAGTTAGTAGTGTGCTATGTTCATTTCGTAACTTGGGGTGTGATAAGCGTGACATACTTCTGATATGTACTGATATTCTTCATTCCTCCGCTTTCAAAAGGGACCTCAATTATCTAAGGCGCCACAGTTGCCTCTGCAGATCTAGAGTTGCGTTCCTTAGGCATGCCAGGAACCAATGACCGTGGGTCTCGTAATACCAGACTGGCCCTGATTATGCTTCTAGATATAGGTTTGTTAGTGGTAAACGTCTAAGACAGGAACACTCTATACTTTCCTCCAACATAAAGCTGACCCACCTTGACATGACTGACATACTGTTCAAAGCGGATTTAAACCAAACTCACTGTCTCTTTCAAAATTCTCGATCCAACTATGGTTGAACTGGTTTCACGTTATATAGAAACAAGAAGAGACCCACGGTAAAACACCAACCTGCAGGTCATACAAGCCGGCTACAATTTCGTAAAATTATATTCGGATGCCATTCACGACCCTGCAACGCCACTCATTGAAATACATGCAAGGTGCCACCTTCATATAACTGAAATATTGGAGTTCAAGAAACAACTTGTGAACTGAACAGTAAACATGAGTCCTTTAAACAATTAGTTTTTGTGACATGTTCCACATTGGCGCTGAAAATGGTGAGAGCAAATGTCCGTTTCGCTGACAACAACCTGTTTTTGGTAGATTAAGTGGAATTCGTATGCCGTAAGGAACTTGCCGACACGGCCTCAAAACACACTTGCTGACACGACCTTCAAAGCTGTTCGCCGCGATTACCCGCAAGATGTATGGTGGGGCGTTAAGCAATAATCTCACACCCTCTCTCTCGGATAGGTTTAGTGAAAGATTTCGATCTCTATACTTTCATAACTACGAAAACATTTTTTTGCCAAATCTTATTTAATTTTTTTTTATTATGTTGTGTATCTTGGAGCTAATGTGAGATACATAATCTTGACAGTGACAGCATGACAGCTACTACTAAATGTCATTGGTAACAGGTATTTTATGTTGCCCGGAGCCACCAGACTGATTTGCCAAACAGTAAATATAAACATAAAAATAATACACTGCTGTTTTTGAAATTGTAAAATTTGTAAATACCAGGAAGAGGGCAATCTAACTTCTTGTGAATAAATATGTTTAAATATAATCAGAACCTGGACCTTAGGCGTGACCAGGGAACGCTTTAACCACTAGGCTACTCTACGCTACAGTCCCGTATGGTAATCAAAATTCGTTGTCATGGGGGACGTTGAAGAACGAATACTGACCTTGATACAACGCCGAAAACGTTTTCTGAACGTCGACAGTGAATGCAATCTCATTAAAATCAGATCTTAGTTCTCGCTACCGCTAAACAAAGATCAGAGGACATCCCATTGCGGGTCATGTCAGAACGACCTTTCATCTGACCAATCAGAGCATCGCTTATCAGAGCATGAAAGTGACAGTTGGAATGTGATTTGTGATCTTGCAACCTCGAAAAAAACCACACAGTGTATTCCGTACGACCGTTATGGCCTTTATGTCTGTATTCATACAATCTAGACCATCTATTAGCCATTCCAGAATGTTCTTTTGTTCAGGTTTTAATTTTGTAATCGAGTATATGTCAAAATATGTTTCGAAGCGTAGTCGCCAGATTGAAACTCGTGTCATAAAGCTCGATTAAGCTGCCTTCTGATTGGCTATTGTCGATTTCTTGTTAGTCATTCCATTGGTCGGTCAAAGTTCGCCAAAGGTCGGTCTGACGTGACCCGTAAGGGGGTGTCCTCAGATCCATGTTAAGCGGTAGCGAGAACTAAGATCTGATTTTAATGAGATTGTAGTGAATGTTAACAGTTAACATTTAAATAGTCATTGGTAATTGATAGAAAGTAGGACTAACGCTAACCGTTACGGCCTTGCTTACTTCCTGTTTCGCTTGACGATGGTTCGGACTTCGGGTATCCACTGTGATAACACCATTGCGTCGAGGAGAATATTTAAAAAAACAAACGCCAATTTAGGAAACATTTACTGATGTGAAGACGCTAAGGGGTAACTAGTAATATGATCATTATTCCTAACTGAAATAATAGGTATTGATGGATGTATATAGTGCCAGGATAGGCTCATGTAGGCCTCTTTTAATGTTATTGCAGGGTAATGGTACACCGTGCTTTGGCGGAATTATAGCTCATATGGGATACCAACAACCACGAGACGGCAATACTAGGCTCACCTAGTGTATATTCAACAGACCCGTAAAGATCCGGGGTAGAATAGGTCTTCAGCAACCCATGATTGCCGTAAAAGGGGACTACGCTTGTCGTAAGAGGCGACTAACGGGATCGGGGGGTCAGGCTTGATGACTTGGGTTGATGAATGCCATCGTATCCCAACTGCGTGGATCGATGCTCATGATGTCAATCACTTGATTGTCTGGTCCAGACTTGATTATTTACAGACCGCCGTCATATAACTGGAATGTTGTTGAGTGCGGCGTTAAGCAACAAACAAACAAACAAACTGTATAAACATGCTCAATTGTTACACTGGGCTGAATGAATCAAACCGATTCGCGGTAGATGAAATCGATCTGGAATAACATGGAAATACATTCAAGATGTGTTGCTCTCTGCAACTCTACAAACATGCAAAGCAACTGACGTCTGGACTATGTAAAGGTTGTCTGTTTGATAACGTTATTACCCCAACACCTGTAACAAGACAAGAACGTATATCACGGTACATTGACAAGGTCTGGAGAGATCTCAATGTGGAGCATGTTATCATACATTTCGATGAATTTGATAAATACTAGATTGTGTTTGGTCAATCAGAGGTATCAAATCACAATAAAAACCCTCTGACTGAAACAGCCGATTTGACAGCCGCATCCACGTAGAAGCTAATATTTTTAGAATAGTACTTCTTTCACAATCATTGTCGATAGGCATATTTAAATAATTATATGTACAATTATATGCTACAAAATGCAATCAGAAAACATGATTGAAATCTGCAAAGAGAATGTATTTCAAGCTTTGAGGACATCAGAGAGCTTGTTATTTGTTGCTTTTCTTTGTACGACGGTGACATCATATTTTTTGCGTCGCACCCAGCGATATGACGTCATAATAGTGACGTGAAGTGTAGAATTAAAACTTTGCAAGGCTTGCTTAGTTTTCTTTAGGGGTGTCCGCCTCATGTTAACTTACGAAATTGTCGTGCTCCATGCTTTCAGTGCCTGTCATAAGTTAGTGTGAAGTATAACGGTGTAAACAAACTGCTTGAGTATATAGAGCGCTATGTTCTGTTTACAGGCTGTTGTCGGTGATTCCGTAATTCAGATCGACAACCCACTCAAAAAACTGGACTCAACCCATTCGCTTCACTCAATATATTTTCTAACACCAAAGAGTTCGCGTTTTATTAAGTCTCGATAGAATGGAGATTAGCAAATGTACATTTCACATTTCACATTAAATTCTCATGCCGCGCGTTCAGTTCAAAATTCAATATAGCGCGGTTAAATATACAGGTAACCTAGCTCTTCATTGTACACACAGTATGTTTAGCTTCAAAGTGGCACGAACCTATTTAAGTACACCCAGGTTGTGTTAGGGAGTAACCCTTTGATGAAAAGAAGACATAAAGGAATAGCGTTATCCTTTGTGTTGACCAAGTTGCCGGGTATCCGACCAAGTCACCTGGAACAAGACGGTGTCGTGAAGGCCTCGCCTCCAGTCAGGGAAAGATCGTGCTGGTGCGACGATGTCGTCCATGGAAGGATATATTAACAGAAGTAAGTAATTGTTTTATGATTCCTCCCCTCCTCTTGATGCAGAAGAGGGTAAAAGTTTTCAAGTGTCATATAGTTCATGAACATCAAGTTTCATGGTTCTTGGTACATAGCGTTTTCCCGCCACCTCACCCATTGCCAGTATCCATTCATATGATAATATCTTCAATATGTCGCCCTTTATGCCCTATGGAAGGTAGAAAACGACATTTGGAATTAGGTTACATATTAGGTTATAGTTACATGTTCTTTCATCGGCATATCACATATCAGTAAATTATTTGGAATAGATGAACTTTCTCAGCCTAAAACGTAGTTTGATACCATTAATCTGCTTCCACATATCATTTATACCAACGATCGTCGTATAGGGAGAAGCCCAGCTATGATACAAAGCTCCTTATTCACAACAGAAAGGGGAAAAAATGGAATTCTTTTCCAAAAAACAACGAATAGATAGACAGACGAGCAGAGAAACAGTTTTATTCAGTATAAAGGTCTTTGCCCGAAATATATTCATGTACTGCAAAACATTGACCCGTGCAATATACTATGATTAATATATACAATTAATCATATGTAGGTATACACAATGAGAAAAATGTTAGCAACTATTAACATGTTGCTGTACTTTAAGGAGACATACATTGGTGTTGTGCAATATTTCATAGTTTTTATAAGTAATATTTTTTCTAAACAATGCCTAGATGTAGATGTCATGAACAGGGTGGAACGGTAATCACGTGATGTCCAGTTGCCTACAGCTGATTGCGTATGGTTGGTTAGGGGATGTGGACACTGCGATGAGAAACTTGGAGGAGGAGAATCTGATAATAGTTACATCATTCTATGTATATCCGTCACTCGTTAGACACTTGGGACATAAGTTATCCCAAACAAATCATATCCAGCTGTCAGTTTCTTTGTCATGTCAACAAATATGAAAGAAGTGCCAAAATTGATATTGTGAAGGTGTCAATATAGTTAAGATAATATCCATTGATGCTCAGCGACCCATGGCTTGGTCACTCGGTTCATTGCGTGTCTGCGTACCCCGAGGTTCACAATTTCAATCACTGCATTGTCTGATCCAGATTACAAATGTATTTACAGGCCTCCGTCGTCAAGCTGGAATATTGCTGGGTGCGGCGTTAAACAACAAACAAACACACATACCTTACTTATTGTGAGATATGAAGACAAAAGTTTGCAAAGGTTTAACATTAACAATTAACATTGGCAGTCCTATTAAGCTGACTTTAAAACAATTAGCAAACATAAAAGACATAAGGTCACGTTCAGGTGCAGATACTGACATATACAATACGCAGGCTCGATTACCATTCATCATACATCTGGGATTTTGCTGAGTGTGACGTTAAACAACAAAATACACGCACACAAACAAACAAACAAACAAACAAACACACACACACACACACACATTAAGCGTTACGTCAACTGTTAAAGTCCTTAGGTTCAGGTGCAGAAAGACATACGGAACTGTTTGCACACTCAGATGACAGTAATCATGACAAACAGCAAAACATATACATTAAAACAACACTAATATATTTCTGCTTCCAGGTATTTTGTTCATACATAACTATAGTGGTAGAAATGTTTGAGATTTTCATTGCTCTCATTTTCACAGGTTTTTGAAAGGAGAAGACCCTAGATCACAATGGGACGTCTCAGGATTGCCTATGGTATGTTACACATTTGGTTATTCAAACCAGTTCCATATTCATAAGAAATCTCTGCTAAAAGCTGAGTTCATTGTACGATTCTGAAGATGTTTTGCGAAGCGCGGTTAAATAACGATTATTCCAGGAGTTGTAATCAAGGTGAGCGTATCATGCCCCACTGATGGCACCCGTCACAAACACATGCACAGGCAAGTCACTTGTTCATCTGAAAAACGCAGGAACATACAGAACGAGTCAAAATAGGGAATTGCATCGAACATTATTTGTGTCACTGATGTGTCAAGTTTTAAAATGTCAATAACATTAATAAACAATAACCTTATATCCGAAGTTAAAACACCCTCTATATAATATTGTGGGTGTGTGGTTTGTGTCTCTATGTTTGGTCTCACAACACATTATTTTAGAACATGTTTACGAAACAACTGGGTTAGGAGGGCATACCAGGAGGAAAACGTACTATTTTTTAAGCATGGTCGGAAACAGATTATTTTCTTACAAAGATAATCCTATCAAATAGTCTGTCCCATGTATTAGCAATCCCTACACTTACACTGCCTAAAGCACATGTAATATATCTGCATATACCCTACCTAAAGCACATGTCATATATCTATATATACCCTGCCTAAAGCACATGTAATATATCCACATATACCCTGCCTAAAGCACATGTCATATATCTACATATAGAACAGATTTCATATCCCTACACTTACACTGCCTAATGCACCTGTCATATATCTGCATATACCCTGCCTAAAGCACATGTCATATATCTACATATACCCTGCCTAAAGCACATGTCATATCCCTACACTTACACTGCCTAAAGCAGATGTCAGATATCTACATATACCCTGTCTAAAGCAGATGTCATATATCTACACTTACCCTGCCTAAGGCACATGTCATATATCTACACATACCCTGCCTAAAGCAGATGTCATATATCTACACGTACTTGCCTAAAGCACATTTCATATATCTTCATATACCCTGCCTAAAGCAGATGTCATATATCTACACGTACTTGCCTAAAGCACATGTCATATATCTACACATACCCTGCCTAAAGCACATGTCATATATCTACACATACTTGCCTAAAGCACATGTCATATATCTACATTCACTTTGCCTAAAGCAGATGTCATATATCTACATATACCCTGCCTAAAGCACATTTCATATCTCTACACTTACCCTGCCTAAAGCAGATGTCATATATCTACATATACCCTGCCTAAAGCACATTTCATATCTCTACACTTACCCTGCCTAAAGCAGATGTCATATATCTTCACTCACCCTGCCTAAAGCACGTCATATATCTACATATACCCTGCCTAAAGCACATGTCATATATCTACACTCACCCTGCCTAAAGCATATGTCATATATCTACATATACTAGCCTAAAGCACATGTCATATATCTACACTCACCCTGCCTAAAGCACATTTCATATCTCTACACTCACTCTGCCTAAAGCACATTTTATATCTCTACACTCACCCTGCCTAAAGCACATGCCATATATCTACACTTACATTGCCTAAAACGCAGTTAAATTGATCTTAGATATAATTTAACGTCAACGCCAGAGAATAACCACTCTCACTTATCCGCCGAAACAGATTCCATATGGCGTAAAAGGCACAATGTAGGTGAAATAATATGAATGGATTGCTGAAAATCAGAAATGACACCAGGTGTTGGCGAAAGGGTAATCATGTCATAAGCTACCGGTAGCACCTGCCACTCACACAACTCACACAACTCACACAATTTACATAAAAGGCGCTTGCTGCTAGACGCGGCACAACAGTACTCCGGCCATACGGTGGTGGCCAGTGAAGAAAACACACCATCAGGTGATGGAACAGAATATCCAGCGATATTGATAGCCTTTTTACTGATATCGTTGAAGCTAAAAACCTTACGTGAATTTTGAATTACGTTGTGTAGAAACGAGATTCTTCTGTATATAAGTAAATGGAAACGTTTATGAAATATTTCCGTTTTGCAACACATTGGAGGGCAGTGTTAATGTTTTGACCCAAATATTTAGTTGATTGAGCATCGAAGGTTTGAAGATTGCCGACTCGATAATGAATGAATGAATGAATGAATGAATTTCTATATTTCCTCCAGAGTTGAATCCGAAGATTTTACATAGGCAATTTATTATTTACAATAAATCAATGAAATTACTTGACTATAAACAATGAAATCATGTTATACAGCGCTATGAATAAACATTGTACATTTTGAGAGCAGTAAGGTATCTAGTAGATATACAAATGGTATTTCTTCAAAATTCCATATAAAGTGGCAGAAAGACAGTATGATGCTTTGCCAAGTATCGTAATCAAATTCGTTAGTCAAGTCATGGACATCTGCACCGAGAAAGAATGAAAGCATATTTTATAGTACCGTGAAAGATTTAGTCTGCGTGCTAGTCTCTCTCTCCAAATGTACTGTTCATTCTCTGATAGACGTCTGATTGCAAGAGCTCGCCAAGCCGATTTAGTTGAGAATGAACCACTATCAGTATATTCTTTGATATAGTTATCTAAATTATATGTTTTAGCAGAAGGATGTTGCATATGCTTACAGAACAGCTAATATTGACAGTGGCGTTGGTAGCATTTGGGCACAAAATAGATCTTTTGTTATTGAGCATTGAAGGTTTGAAGATTGCCGACTCGACAATGAATGAATGAATGAATGAATAAATGAATGAATGAATGAATGAATGAATGAATGAATGAATGAAGGTTTGAAGATTGCCGACTCGATATATTCTTTTCAATTCTGTAAATAAAATGTAGCCATGAGGTCCACTTCATGCTTGAATTGCTGTATCAGGAATTACACAAAGGTGGCCGTTGAGTGCACCACTGACGCCCTTTTCACGAGTGGGTGTGGAGTTCATGGTTGAATGGAGACAAGGATAAGGACAGTTCAGTGGGCAGATTGTGCCCTGTTGACGTCTCTATGTCGTGACTATGTTACCTTTGAATATACACCACCGGGAACCGTTTGAAAAACCTTTGGCAACATGTGTCACTCCTTCCGTTCGATTTCGAAACCATAGGCGACGCAGGTGAACACACGTCATACTTCGATTGGCCTCAGACCACAGATACCACAAGTTTTAACATAAACCCGAAGGAAAATAGTGCCCTGTTTAAATTAGCTGTTCAGTCCACGCCAATTATCTTAGAGTGACTTGTGATAGCTTAAATGAAAGATAAGACATAGATGTTGTTACATTTGTTTTTATCCACAATCTGTACATAGTATTGACTCCAGCTTCCCATGATTTGACCCCAAGTTCAAGGCCGTTTAATGTGTTTTGTCTCAGAAATTTCGTAACCATTGTTGACAGTGGTTACTGTGAAATCTAGACTGTGGATTCGAACCGAGAAGTGGCAGGTTGGTCAAAATGCAACAGGGGAACTGACTTCGACCGATAATATTAATTAAGGCTGTCATGTCACTGTATATATCAAAGTAGGAAGATGATTGTCATCTGAGGCCACCTAAAGAGTCCCTGGAGTGCAGTACTCTTGTAAGTTTCATTCATTGACTCTTTCATGGATAAAAACATTTTCATGAATATAATTAACTAGGTGTAGATGGTATGTATATATTCTGTATGCATCTTTCGATTGTTGATATAAATATAATACTGCCACTTTGGTGATAATTTTATATGTCGTTTGATATTATAAGCAAAACTGTTAACCTTCCTGTGGTTTTATATGCATTAAAAAGAAAAGGCACAATAACAACTTTGTCAAGCAATGAAACACTTTCATAGTTGCATGTTGTAGACCATGGCTGTTGAGTTTCTCCGTCTCCGGGTAGCTATCATAATATTATCTAAGGCTGCAGTTTAAGCGTTTTGTCTGATCCTTGCTTAACACTGCTTAACACAGGCTGAATCTCGTCACCCCTGTTTGTCAGACTGTTATATATATCAAGTAATGATTCTAGATCCGTATATGGGATTACGCGGATGAGAGATCCATTACATGGTATATACTAACGGAAAAAAGTAACTGTGCTTCGTGTTAAGTTCAATGAAAATAGATTTATTCTAAAATAAAAATATGCATCTCAATATATATTCATGACGACTCCCCTCGACTATATGGTCCTGATACACAATTGGCACTCACCCGCTCTTTCCCATGTCCTTCTTCCCCCCTGGTGTCCTACAGGGAGAACACCCTCGCCTGTTTTCTGTCGGGTGGGATGCGTGGTTCGTGGAGTGGATAACGAATCAAGCCTCTGTCAATTTGACGTATAACCTATTGGCATAGTGGTGTACAAAAACATGAAAAAGTAAATGTTTTGACATTAATAAAGTCCTTCCTTCATTGTACTAAGGATGATGGTTAATCGTTCAGACGGATTTGACGGTACATTTGCTAGACGCAGCAATAAATCTCTCTTTGAACGGATTTGTAAGGAGCTTTGGAATCCAGTTCAAAAGAGGAATGGACGTGGCTTCTGGTTTTGGAGTCATGTCAGAACCGATGCGTGGTTTTGTCAGATTCCTTCCTCAGTTAAAAGATACTGGTCTTACATCTGGCAATACTTGATGTGTCATTCATCCCAAGTTCTTTGATCAAACAATTAATTTAGATATCCTTACACTTGTTTTGAGGCCTTGTCGGTGGAAACAACTACAAACTGTTCATGTGGGGCAGCCAGACTTTGGATGGCAGCTGGCTGGATCAGAATTGGTTAATTCCAAGTATGTTTCCATGTTTTCTGTTTCTGCATTTTTCCAATGACAACATCACTCAGTGGCAAGTTCATCTTCTGTTTTGGCCCATGTTTTTTGCGTATGCTTCCACAGCATCCATTAAAGTTGTGATCCCAATTTGTAGCAGGCTGCTCACAATATGTTGGTCCATATTTGAATAAGTGATGAATGTTGTTATTGTCAATAGTAGAAAAGTCACCTGTGATTATATGGCTGGCTGTACAAAACAACCTTAGCGCTAAGACTGTCGTAAGTCTATGTTATTGCATGGGTGTTACGATCACCTTAGCCCTAAGACTGTCGTAAGTCTATGTTATTGCATGGGTGTTACGATCACCTTAGCCCTAAGACTGTCGTAAGTCTATGTTATTGCATGGGTGTTACGATCACCTTAGCCCTAAGACTGTCGTAAGTCTATGTTATTGCATAGGTGTTACGATCACCTTAGCCCTAAGACTGTCGTAAGTCTATGTTATTGCATGGGTGTTACGATCACCTTAGCCCTAAGACTGTCGTAAGTCTATGTTATTGCATGGGTGTTACGATCACCTTAGCTCTAAGACTGTCGTAAGTCTATGTTATTGCATGGGTGTTACGATCACCTTAGCTCTAAGACTGTCGTAAGTCTTTGTTAATGCATGGGTGTTACGATCACCTTAGCGCTCATATCGCTGTGTACAACGACACCATCATCTACAGGTTGAGAGCAGTATGATGAATCTTTACAGCCTCACGCAGTTGAATTAACATCAAGAGCTGCCAAGTCCACGTTCTGAAACACGTTCCTATAATTGAACAGCTTTTGTGAAATGGTGCTCGTTGTGGAAAATAAAAATGTAAGTGGTTCCTGAAATTGGAAAATTGCGGGCATTTCGGGAAATTGATTTTCGTCTGAAATGTTTGTATCAATTCCCATGTTTGCTAATGTCAAATACAGTAACATGCGTCTTTTATTTTAGTGGAGTCCGCATCCACCTCAAAGGGACAACAGACAAAAAAAAACAATGACAAATGACCGCGCCCGAATGTATTATTTTAGCGAACACCTGGTGTTAACACTTTTGTGCCTTTTACACACTGTGGAATTTACCGTCGTTGCATGGCAGCAGTGCAGCTGTGCGGCGTCAGGCAACAGACAAACTTGGTGTTAGTGGTGGTTTGGGGTGCGACCAGTAGGGCAGGACATGCTTAGCCTTTCCCCGAACACTTTGTGGCATCACAGCTTTCACCGATCCATTCATATATTTTTCCCTTTACGCCTTTGGAATCTGTTTTGATTATTCATTTGCGTTGAGGTGTTATATTTACATCCACCTCACACATAATCTGTTGAATGTCAGTTTCAGTGATATTTCTTGGCACGTTGTATTCCTTGGGCCTGCTGCTGGTGGTTGATATCACAAGAAAATCGAATGTGTTGAGTAAGTGATGTAATGACTAGTACTTTTATGAAGGTTGGAGTAGTTGCGTCCCGTAGTCGAGTCAGGATCCGCTGTTCGAATCACAGATTCGCACTGACTGTGATCCTTCAAGCCAATGGTTTGTGTAGTTCACCAAACGTCTGTGATATACTTCTAATTAAGCGGGGCGGTCGGGTAGCCTAGTGGTTAAAGCGTTAGCTCGTCACGCCGAAGACCCGGGTTCGAATCCCGACATGGGTACAATGTGTGAAGCCCATTTCTGGTGTCCCCCGCCGTGATATTGCTGGAATATTGCTAAAAGCGGCGTAAAACCATGCTCACTCACTCACTCTAATTAAGCTTTCCTCCACATCAAGGTAACACGCCATGAAGTAACTGAAATACTGTTGAAAGTGGCGTAAAATCACTCAATGTTCTTTACAAACACTTTACTATTTGTTGAAAATATGTATTTTATTGCAATACATTCGCCAATGTTCATGAAAGTATTATGACTAAGAAAATTCCAGGGTATAATTATCAGTAGTGTATCCATGTGTACTGCTGAATGTTATCAGCGTGTCATTGGTCAAACGGCGTTTATTCCCAGTAACCATGCATGGAGCTTCATCCTGTTTGACAATTACAGAAATAAACCACATTTTAAAAGTCCATTTTAAAAACACGAACAACGTGAGATCACAAATACAAGCATGTTTCTTATCATCGACAGACCCTAAATAAAATAATTGGCACTTGAAATTCCGTTCCGGTTACGCATTTTGTTTGTTATTTTCAGTGCACATTTTAATGTAAACGTATCTGATAATATAATTGTTTTCATTAAGCAAAAGGAAGTTTAGCTTTGTGTGGTTAGGAAATCGAAATTTGAAATAAAATTTAATAATATACCTATGAATGTCTTAAGACAGTGATGAGAACCAAGCCAAACAATTATGTGCGGCTTGAAGAACATAGTATGTTAGGTTCATGAACGATATACATTACTGAGTTTTTGTCAAATGCATTTTCAGATACTGAGCACTTGTGTCTTCAAACAAGAACTAAACATACAGAGGATATACAGAAATTAAATGGTAAGGGTTTATAAACATTGAAATTCACAGTCCGATCCTTCCTCGTGGTAAGAGATCACCGTCTACTGATATTTTATGCATTTATTTACATGTAGTGGTGTTCACTCATTCCTACCGCCTGAAAAAGAAAATAAATGTCAACATATGTTTATTCGTCCTTGATTTCAGACAACCAGCTTGTCCATTCCAGAGACGAGGTCACACTCTTGGTGGACATGTTTCGTCAGAAAGTAGCAAGTAAGATTTCGTGAGCTAATCGAATTCATAAAAGAAACGGTTAATTTAATAACGGAAATTCAAAATATCCACAACATGTTCATTTGTAGACAGAAAGAAGTGTATAAACATGCCCATATACATATTGTGTTCTAATCCCACACATTGTACCTTTTAATTATTTGCAATTTGGCCAAAACATTCTGAGGTATTCCTAAAGGTAAGAGGTGTGAACCAATCTGCAAACCTGACCAACCATCGATCCATGAAGTCGTCTCGTACCTCAAAAATAGTTGCTTTGGCCCATTCCAATCCAGAAGCCCCAAAGTCTGAATAATTAATTAAATAAAGCGACAAAACCCTTTCCATATTCTCTGCATAAAGCAGGGTCGATTTTCCGATTCCGACTATATCATGAGCATGTGTTTATGAATCAATATCAAATAGTAATGATACCAGGTGTTCGCGAAAAGTTGAGCGTATCCTGCCCCACAGGTGGCACCCGTCACAAACACATGCAAAGGCAAGTCAATTTTTCACCTGTAATAACACGGGAACATATAAGTCAAAATAGGGAATTGCATCGGACATTGAAACTAACTTGGAAATGATGGTCTGCCTTTCCGTTGTTTCAAACAGATTTTCAGAGGAATGTAAGCCTGTATTCTACTTACGGCAACTATTTTGCTTTAATCGGCCCCCTGCTTTAACCGTCGCCTGAACAGCATTAACTTAATCTTTTGCATATTACTCCGTGGCACTGTTTCAACTTATCTGTGATCCGATGAACTTTTCACTTAATGAAATCTGAAAATCAAGAGATATTTCAGAAACATTCTGTATCACTACCATTTTCCTCTGAGTTGTTGGGCAGTCGGGTAGCCTAGTGGTAAAAGCGTCCGCTCTTCACGCGGAAGACCCGGGTTCGATTCCCGACATGGGTACAATGTGTGAAGCCCATTTCTGGTGTCCCCCGCCGTGGTATTGCTGGAATATTACTAAAAGCGGCGTAAAATCAATCTCACTCACTCACTATGAATTGCAGCTCTGAAGCAGAAGAAGATTTGGTCAGAGTTGCCTCCCTTTCCACGGTGTACAGGCAAGGAAAAGAAAGCATGTAAGGTTCAAATTATTATGAATCCATAATTAAATACAGCCACGAAAGGCACAATACACATCACTAAACACTTGTGTATTTAAAAAAAAAATCCTTTTGTTTATGTGTTTGTTTTGTTGAACTTGTTGCACTCCACAATATTCAAGCTATATTAATGAGCCTTGACCAGGCAATCAAAACTGCAAATAATCTTTCTAATTTTTATAAACTTTTCAGTGGACATGTGCAATGATACAGCTGCCTGCAAACACCCGCTTCCGGCGGCTGACAGTCTAGAAAACATCCGCAATATTCTTACACCTGTAACCAAACTACAAGAGGGGGCACTGGGAAGGATAAAGGATGTTTTCAACATACAGGAGAGGAGGAAATATGCTTTTGTCACGGCAGCGTCAGCGGATCACTTTGATGAATCCCAGGAGATGATCATGACTCTGGACAAATACATTTTCCCTCATTTGAGCAACTACTCCTTCTATTATTACGACATGGGGCTGAACAGAAGTCAGGTCAAACTGGTAAGCAACCTTTCATTATAAGAGAATCGAAGGTAGAAAATGCAACTAAGTAAGCTAAAACGAAGCCGATTGAACCAGTAGTTATAGTTTAAGGAAGTTGTAGTATGTATAGAAGTAGACGTGTTTCAAATGTAGTAACAGTAGTGCTATAAATCGTAGTATGTAGAAGTAACTAGTGGTAATAGATTAGAAAGGTAGTGGTGGTTGCAACAGCATTTTATTCGTACAATTCACGCTTTTCTGCGGCAGCTATTTTTTTGTTTTTCGTGATAGCTTGTCTCACCTTTTTTATTTGGCATCGTGTTCGTTTCATCACGTGTCTAGGGGGCACGGGTGGCCCAGTTGTCTAAGGCGCCAAGATACGCTGTGCTGAGTTGCGTCCCTTGGGCACGCCAGAACTTTATGATTGTGGGTTCGAATGTTTCTTATGTTTCTAGGTTTGTCAGCACCATACCCGTGCTCGTGGGTTTCACCGAAGTGGTAAACGTCTAAGACCTGCATCACTTCGGGCTTTCCTCCCACATTAAGCTGACACGCCGTGATATAACTGGAATATTGTTAAAAGCGGCGTTAAACCCAACACACTCACTCACTCATCACGTATCTATCACGTGATGTCATAGAGGATATCTTCTGCCCTTCATTTGATACTGAATGTTCAAGGACTGAAGTTGGGTCGAAAATCAAGCGAATAGAGTATATTTATGAAATTACAAGAAGGTTATAGATCGAAGTCATACTTAAGTCAACAGTGAATAGGATGTTGCACAATTTCGTCGCGCAGAATCAGTGGTGATGAACTCGGGAAACGCAAGGAGGTAATCGTTGACAGACCGCGATCGGTTGTCCAGTATGGCCAAGAAAAACAGAAGGAGGTCTTTGAGATACATTACACGTGGAACAAAAAGTGAAACAAGACGTCATCTATATCCAACGTCCATTGTCCAATCCTAAAGACAATGTTATGTGCAAACAAATGTGACATTGGTTGGTCCACCTGCTTGTGGAAGAGGTTCAATACAAGAGCTGATGTATATGACTCTCCATAAACATTGTACAGATATCTGCTGTAATGATAAACACAGGTTATAACCATCTACCAGTATATGAAGGCTAAGAATAGTTTGTATCCATGAGCACTGCACAATTCACTCATTTAGATATCGTGGATTGTAGAACATTGTTATACAGGATGGTATTGTTGCAGATATACCTTTACGGGAGTTACTATGAATCTTTTCTGTTGTTGTTGCAGTGTCTGCTGGTGTGTTATTTAATGGAAATAAGAAAATAAAACATAACTTTCAAATATTAACAGACTTTAACAGTCTTAGACTGATATTGTACAAAGTGTCATGGAGACGTACACACCAGAAGTGAGGTAAAATTGTTAAGATTGCTTCTATTCAAGTCTAAATTTATTACAAAAATATAACAACAAAATAATTGGGGGAATCATAAATACCAAAGGCACATCGACATAATATTGTGAATGTGTGTACTATGTTTCATAAGGTAATCTTAATGGGAAAAAAAACCCCAAAAAACATTTCAAGTTTTGCTCCGGAAATGAAACCCACTGCTTTCATTCATATCAGTGCTATGTCCAAACTAATAAAATTCATGTAAAATAAAAGAAATATTCGGGGGAATCATAAAAAGTAAGAGGCACATATTTACAATATAGTGAATGTGTGTACCAAATTTCATAAAGTCTTTAATAGTTTCCGACTTCTTTTCCGGACATGAAATCCACTGAAAATTTTCAAAAAATAAATAAAATAAAAAACATTCAAAATGCAGGGAAAACCTAAATGGCAAAAGACACATATACACCATATGGTGAATGTGTGTACCAAGATTTGTAAAGTTATATCCTATGGTTTCCGAGTTCTGCTCCGGAATGGAACGTGTCAGACGGACGGAAGGACAGACGGAGCCCGTTTCTATATCCCCCGCGAACTGCGTTGGGACGGGGGATAATTAATTCGGGGAGGAACCAATCTGACTCTTAGAGGACTGTTCGGCGAGTATTGCATTTTGAAGGATTTTACCGGCGCATTCTTAAAGGAAAATGGTCGTCATTGAGGTGAAGAGAGAAAAGACTGTGGTGTCGATGGATGACACGAACTACAGTTGGTAAAGTCAGGTGATGATACAATAACGTGTTTCTATATTGCGGAAAGATAACGACTCATTGTGTCCTCCTCGAACACAAAAGTAAAGGTTGATGGCGTTCCGAAGCAAACGTTTCCATGGTATTGTCATCCCAATGCCTGTTGTCAGCAACATATACGCTCAAAAGTACATCCACATCATTGACAGTAATGTGTTGCCTGTAATAGCAAGACATTGCCCACAAATGACTATGTATTCCAAGACGACAATGCTCCGCTTCGTAGGGACAATATTGTGGAATCTTTTATTGCTGACAATGACTTATAAATGCCATCGACAGGGCATGTGTGGCTAAACTGTAAAGAAAAGTACAGGACTCCGCTGATGACATATCCACCAGTTATCCAATGTGACCCACACCACTTGACAAGACATCAAGTCGGACTACATTCGAGAACTGAACAATTCAAGTCCACGTAGCATAACTGAAGCCTTGCTTTTGAGGGGACATTCACCAAAGTGAGTGGGTGAGTGAGTGAGTTGGGTTTAACGCCGCCTTTAACATTATTCCAGTTATATCACGGCGTGTCAGCTTAATGTGGGAAGAAAGCCCGAAGTGATGCATGTCTTAGACGTTTACCACTTCGGTGAAACCCACGAGCACGGGTATGGTGCTGACAAACCTAGAAACATAATCTGGGCGAACTGTGATTCGAACCCACAATCATAGGTTTCTGGCGTGTCCAAGGGACGCAACTCTGCACAGCGAATCGCGGCGCCTTAGACAACTGGGCCACCCGTGCCCCCCTCACCAAAGTGAGGTGAGGTGGAATGGGGTTTAACGTCAGGTTCAAGATTATTGCACTTATATGAATTAAATAATTGAAGTAGTAGTGTTGTTGGTAGGTCTAACAGTTGTAGAAATAGTAGAAGTAGTATTAGTTGTAGCAGTTGTAGCTACAGCAAATGTGATTTTTGTTATAACAGTTATATTATCTGCAAAGAGGAAACTACCATGTTAATCAATACAGTGAAATACATATTTATCTTCTGTCCCCATATGTCTAAATGGAAAATCCAAAGCAAAAAGTAAATTGTGACCGATTTTTTTCATTTCTCTATAGTAATCAAACTTTAATCTTTGATCATTTTGTATTTGTTTTGAATAAAGCCAATTATAGAAAATATACTCACACAGAAACGAGTTGGACACCTATTTACAAATTATTAATTCAAGCAAATTGATGTTGATTTTTATATGAAATATTTTCAGCTGGAGAAATATGGAAGGGCTGAAATAAAACGATACCCGTTTAATTTGCTGCCTGATCGGTTTTCCTACTTGAAGTGTTACACGTGGAAGCCAATCGTTATGCAGGTAAAGTCATAGACATAAATCTCTCCCAGGCACACACTGGGTTATTCCTCTGATGGTATTGGTATTTACAGCTTTGATAAAAGGCAGAATACTTTCCGAGATTTCGCGGAGATTTCGCCCCTTTTCGCGAACAATGGGTGTCATCACTGATTTTCAGTGGACCGTTCATAAAATTTTCATAGCTATTTTGCTCTTTATGCCAAATGGAATCTGTACCATCGGATAATCAAGACTGCCCATTCTCTTGCATTGACGCTTTAAATATACTTTATTAAAGTCTATATGATAACATACATATGTAAATGTGACATGTCTGTCGTTGGGGCCTTCCGCCTTGACAGAGATTCACCTATTATTTACGTTATTTTATAAGAATTACAATTCAGTCTCGATCTTCTACAGTTACATTGCAGTACATTGCCACTCGTAGACGTCGTGTTGCTTTCTGACAGACGAAGTCAAATATTGTTTACCTGACAGGTCAATTAGTGATCATGTGTCCACTGAGTTTTCGAGTTCAGTGTTAAGTCACGTTATTTGAACAAACCATTTCGTATCAGTTTCTGTTGCTTCGTCAGTGTTTAGTTTATTGTTTCATCACGTGATAAAGATTAACCAATAAAACCAGAGCTTCTTCCCAGGAATTTAACAAACTGTAATGAAACATATGTCAACACCTACATTATCCTAGAAATGAATATCTGACATTTCAATGAAAATTGTGGTAGTGGCGGGTGCTACAAGTAGAGTAGGACATGCCTACCCTGTTTTGCCAACACCAATTTTGACTATTTTGCCTTTCACTCCCATTGGAATCTATTTCGTTAGCTATTCGAGAATGATTCTTCTCTGGCAATGACCTCTGATTCCTTACTCTGGTGTTTGATACCCTGCTTCGAAGCTTTGAAAGTCATATGGCATAGCAAAAGTTAACTTCATCTCAACAGAACAGCTGTTTTCTGTCGATATTAATTGTGTTTTAATTCTCTGGAAGTGTCATTCTAAAACATGTCGGTAAGATAAATTCGTTGCAGCAGGATAACTCGGGGTACACAGGGTTATCTAAACCCTAACGCGGGACCCATAGAACCCTATGTACCCCTCGTGATCCTGCTACAACTTATATTATTCTTTGCAAGCATTTACTGGGACCATTTATTATTACTACAAGCCAGTGACAACAATAGCAAGGCCTGACCAGCGCTCTAACTACAAGCATAATGAGCTGGGGACTTGTTACCCTGTGGTGGTGTTGTCGAGGGTACATTTATTAAGAAATATGAAATCTCCGCGTTATATAATAATATCAGTAGATAAGTAAGTTTTATGTAATTATATTTTCAGGCTCATTTTGACAATGCTGAGTACACAGTTTGGTTGGACGCCTCTTCACGATTCGACAAAGGAAATCCCCGAGAAATGTTCAACTTGCTGAAGGAAACAGGTGTGCTTATGTCACCATGGCCATACCCATTTGCACAACATTGTTCAAAGCACATGTTTTCCTACTTCAACACTGAACCATGCCACTTTTCAGTTTACCACGAATCTGAAAGCGGTTTTATAATGTTACACAACCAGCCATTTACAAGACGTCTAATAATGGACCCGTGGGTGGCGTGCGCCGTGGACCCAAACTGTATGTGTCATCCAGGGGCACAACAACTATATTGGTGTTCATTTCGCACCAGGAAGTATGGGAAATGTCACCGGTATGATCAGTCAGCCATAAATTTGATTCTTCTACAGATGTTCAGAAGGAATATAGATTCTGTGCAAATCCCGAAAAAGAAATATGCACATGTGTCCAGGAAGAAAGGACTTTTGTACCTTAAAGACCTCCACAGGACCACGCCCAGTAACAAGTAAACCGTCAACACAAAAGTACTACACGGCTTCAAAGCTGTAGTTAGACATTGCAAACGAGGAAAAGGTCAAATGCCCGTTGCTGGAGACAGAACAAGCACTTCTAGCACTACAATATACTGGAAGGAGCGGTGGAGTAGCCTAGTGGGTAAAGCGTTCGCTCGTCACGCCGAAGACCTGGGTTCGATTCCCCACATGGGTACATATGTGAAGCCCATTTCTGGTGTTTCTTGCTGGGATATTGCTGGATTATTTCTAAAAGCGGCGTAAAACCATACTCACTATACTGGACGACAAGGCTTTCCCTTTACATTGGGAAAGAACAGGGTACAAATACTTTTTCCATATGTGGAGTGATTGCTGATTCAAGAAATTGTAAAGGTCTCAACAGATGTGGATCTCTTTTTATTGTTTTTATCATTGTTTAACGTCACATTCAGAAATATTCAACCCATATGACGGCTGTAAATAATCGAGTCCCGGCCAGATACGATTGATGTAGCATGTTTATAAGGGGGAGAGTGGGGTGTGGGTGTGGGTGTGTGTAGGTAAGGGGAGAGAGAGAGGGGGGAGAGGGAAAGCTGTCCGGCCGAAAACCCTTTGACGACTCTGCCCCCCTCCCCCCCCCCCCCCCCCCCCCCTCCCCCCGTGTTCGACGCCCAGGCTATCGATCAGGCGATCTAGCCATCGAGCCTGACCACCCGATCCATTCAGTTGCCTTTTTGCGATTCGTGGTCGACCTCGACCTAAAGTAGTAAGTTTAATAACGATCATACATTACATTACTACCACCCTAGCCAACCACCCCCAAAATAGAAGAAGACACTGAGTTTTATTTGACGGATTCTACCCAGGTCTCAAGAGGACAATTGCGTTACGCTGCCTCAACCCCCTTCACAGGAACAGCCACGAACAATATCAGTTACACATGCATTCTACCAATCATTTACTAGTATTTATATACAAAATATTTCAATCTAAACGTAGCAATCAATTCAATGTCCTTAAAAACGATTAATTTAATGAATGCTAACATTTTTTTAAAGATCTCTTGTCAGGATGATGTCAGACCAAAGGACACATACAACTTTGATAAAGACTCTGACAAGAGCCACAGTGAACAGAAAAGATTACATTCACCAAAAACCTCATACAAAATAAATTGTTACATATCCATATACCTGGGTGGTGCACCGATCCATAACCGACTATAAGGCAACGCCTACTCCTGTGAAAGGCACGTGAACTAGGGAAACATGGTGGTCGACATGACCTATTGGATTGGTGTGAGTCACGATTCACGCAGCCAGCTGTTCACAGGTGAGACATGGGACATGGTGTAGGGTAAACCACCTAACCAGGCAGCACATCCCAGCTATATGAGACATGAGACATGGTGTAGGATAAACCACCTAGCCAGACAGGACATCCCAGCTATATGAGACATGAGACATGGTGTAGGGTAAACCACCTAGCCAGACAGGACATCCCAGCTATATGAGACATGAGACATGGTGTAGGGTAAACCACCTAACCAGGCAACACATCCCAGCTATATGAGACATGAGACATGGTGTAGGGTAAACCACCTAACCAGGCAGCACATCCCAGCTATATGAGACATGAGACATGGTGTAGGATAAACCACCTAGCCAGACAGGACATCCCAGCTATATGAGACATGAGACATGGTGTAGGGTAAACCACCTAGCCAGACAGGACATCCCAGCTATATGAGACATGAGACATGGTGTAGAGTAAACCACCTAGCCAGACAGGACATCCCAGCTATAAGAGACATGAGACATGGTGTAGGATAAACCACCTAACCAGACAGGACATCCCAGCTATATGAGACATGAGACATGGTGTTGGGTAAACCACCTAACCAGACAGGACATCCCAGCTAAATGAGACATGAGACATGGTGTAGGGTAAACCACCTAACCAGGCAGCACATCCCAGCTATATGAGACATGAGACATGGTGTAGGGTAAACCACCTAACCAGGCAACACATCCCAGCTATATGAGACATGAGACATGGTGTAGGGTAAACCACCTAACCAGGCAGCACATCCCAGCTATATGAGACATGAGACATGGTGTAGGGTAAACCACCTAACCAGGCAGCACATCCCAGCTATATGAGACATGAGACATGGTGTAGGGTAAACCACCTAACCAGGCAGCACATCCCAGCTATATGAGACATGAGACATGGTGTAGGGTAAACCACCTAACCAGGCAGCACATCCCAGCTATATGAGACATGAGACATGGTGTAGGGTAAACCACCTAACCAGGCAGCACATCCCAGCTATATGAGACATGAGACATGGTGTAGGGTAAACCACCTAACCAGGCAGCACATCCCAGCTATATGAGACATGAGACATGGTGTAGGGTCAGCACCTAACCAGGCAGCACATCCCTGCTATATGAGACATGAGACATGGTGTAGGGTAAAGCACCTAACCAGGCAGCACTATATGAGATAAGTTGCATGAGACATGCAACTATATTTCGGTACTTGAAGGCCAGGGTCCCATGGTACAATAGACATACCAATTCTTCTTGGGACGGTGAGATTACATGATTTACACACGTTATACATACATTACATACATAACGGTTGACTACCCAATCCATTTGTGCGACTCAGCAGTCCATACAGACTCCCTGCTGGGACGGTAGTCGGTTATCTTCATACGTTCACACACAGTAACTCCTCCCTCCACTCAACACGTCCACACTGCGTAGTTGGTGAGTGTTTTCAGACTGGTGAGTGTTGATACGTATTACATTTTGATTTGATTGTTGTTTAACGCCGCTCTCGGCAATATTCCAGCTATATGACGGTAGTAATCGAATCTGGTCCAATGATAAACATGATGCGCATCGATCTATGCCTCAACTTAGTCAACAATGACATGCCTCAACTTAGTCAGCAACACAGACACCCAATTCCGTTAGTCGCCTCTTACGACAAGCCTGGGTTGCTAAAGATGTATGCTTACCCGGATCTGCACGGGGCGTGGAGTCATTGAACACAGACGTTCTATGGAACGTTTCTCTAAAACATTTATCAAGGAGGTTTACATTCTTTGTTGATCCCAGTATCCATGAAATCGTCAACACATTATCCAGGTTTGTCTTGCCAAGTGATTTGTTTGGATGTCCGTTTTAGGATTGTATATCTGTAGTTGTACAAGCACGTATATACAACAAGTAACTCACCCGCGATTGCCGTGTTATGAAGTACGGCTGGCTTTGTGAACGTTACATTCGGATACATTTGAAATTCATTTTAAGTTTTTAATAACTACTAAAATATGCCTTTGCGCCCCTTCCGCCATGTTGGTTACAGTACAGAGACCACCTAAACTGAGGGGTGTTGCTACCGAGCCGGGTATAAGCCGGGTATACGCCGGGTACTCGACGTCCTCACGTCCCGACCGCCTGCAGCATAACACAGAGGCCCAGGATTGTCAATTAATTGTTCTTCCGTCACAATGTTATTGTCGAATCACATGTATATATCATTCAGTAAGTAGCCTCGACATGGCTGGAGTTAGGATGACGTCAGGAGTAACATAGACATCTTTCTTTGAATGTTAAATACACTCTTTTCACTGACAACGTTTTATAGAGCTACATAGACGGCAGCCTGTTATTGTTTGCTCTACACGCACTGCTGAACTGCAGGGGCTTGTCAGCCACGCACACAAAGACGTTACTGAACTGGAGAGACGCTCGTGGCTACGATAACGCTACATATACTCTTAAAAAAACAACAACTTGACACTGACTTTCAAAATGTAATATAAAGCGATTGTTTCAAAACAGGACACCATAATTGAAACACTGTTTGAAGATCAATGTACACAATGTTCAAAACATTAATCGTGTCACCTAGACAGACACACGTACACGATACAGTTAATGTCACAGGGGTACAGAAAATGTCAGTATCGGTTGTGCCCATAACGTGCATCAATCACCGCTTGACACCGACGACCCATAGATGCAATCAAGTTGTCAATAACACGCTGTTGGATGTGTTGCCATTCATGCTGAAGGGCATCAAGAAGCGCCGGAAGTGTTTGGGGCGGTGGATTCCTTCTGCGAACGCGTCGAACTCGTCCCACAGATAATCAATCGGGGACAAATCTGGTGACCGGTCTGGCCAAGGTAATGTCTGGATGTTGTTGTGCTGTAAGAAGTCCTGACAAACACGTGCAATATGCGGTCGAGCGTTGTCCTGCTGGAACTGTCCGCCATGAACGTTGACGTGAGGAAGAACGAAAGGCCTTAGGATCAAGTCTCTGTAACGCACACCTGTCAATGCACCTGCCATATGCACGAGAGGCGTCCTACCACCGTGATGAATACCGGCCCATACCATGACACTCCCGCCGCCAAATGGGACAACCTGCTGCACACAGTTGGGGGCGTAACGTTCACCCCGACGTTTTTAGACACGTGCGCGCCCATCAGCACGTGTGAGTTGGAAACGGGACTCGTCAGTAAACAGTACATTTCTCCACCTTGCACGTGCCCATCTAACCCTCTGTTGGCACCAAAGCAGACGGTCCGCCAGATGACGTGGGGTCAATACATGACGTCGAACAGGTCTTCGTGCAAAAAGTCCCGCCTCCCTCAGTCTGTTGCGTACCGTTTGATCTGATATTCTGCGTACCCCAGGGATCTGTGTGGTTGTAGACGTGGCTGTGGTAGTGCGGGCTCGGAGGTGTCGCAGCCGGATGTATCGATCTTGTGCTTGGGTTGTCACCCTTGGTCTTTCTGACCTTGGTCTGTTGTTGTATCGGGTCCACAGTGCGGAGATTGTCTGTCTGGATACGCCAAACTGCCTGGCCACTTCTTGCTGGGTTGCTCCAGCTTGTAATCTCCCAATGGCGTTGTTCCGTTGAGCTGCATTCAGTCTTGGCATTCTGTCACCGCCTCTACTGCCGTTATAAGGACTGTAGGAACAGCCGTTGATATGGATTTTTATACCCATTCAGCAGGGGGGCCTGCATGCCTAAATGCAGGATCCCGTGCTGCATGTTTTTTACAGGCGGTTGCGTTTGGATGAAGCTGTTAAATTGATCCCCAAACGCTACGTTTATGTTTTTTGCATGTGTTTTCGCGAATTATAGACACATCATCTTTCTGTTTGACTTATTTGGTTCTCATTTAATGTAAACAATTTAGATATTTGGCAAAAAGTGGTTTTACATCTATGTCAAGTTTTTTTTTGAAGAGTATATAATGAGACATATCACTTAAATGTATCATTGCTTTGTGTATGTGTAGGTAAGAGAGAGAGAGAGAGGGAGGGAGAAAGTAGGTCAGAGAGAGGGAGGGGGGAGAAAGAAGGTCAGAGAGAGGGAGGGGGAGGGAGAGAGAGGGGTGGGGGAGAGGTGACAAAACATGAACAAAATTAAATAATTTAGGACATTCATGTCTTGAAAATTGTACAGGCCATCGTAATTCTTTACATGTGGCAGGAGGAAGTATTACAGCACAGTTTACAGTTTATCACTGCAGAATCAGAATCGTAAATGGATTCCGGGTGAGACAACGTCCCTAAGAGCCTATGCTGGTCGCACGAGGCGACCAAATGGATAGGTGAGGTGAGGTGAAATGGGGTTTAACGTCGCGTCCAAGATTATTGCACTTATATAGCGACGGGCATGTACGTGTGTGTTTGTGTGGCTGCCTGTACTAGTCCGGACTGATGCCGATTTATAGTGCTAGCTCACTGAGATACCATGCCGCAGTTTAACATGAATACCCCACTCAGACACAGTATACTGACTCCGAGCCGACCAGTCCTTGTTTTAGCCCCTTATTACCGAGCGCCAGACAGGGTAACAACAAGTACCATCTTTTAACGTCTTTTGGTATGACGCGGCCGGGGATCGAACCCCGGACCTTCCGCTCTCCGGGCGGACGCTCTACCATTAGACCACGGAGGCGGTCCCAAACGGATAGGGTGGTCAGGCTCAGTGAATGAGCCTGTCATAGTATCATGCTCACAATATTGATCACTGGATTGTCTCGATTTTTTAAAGGCCGTCTTCATATGGCTGGAACATTTCTGAGTGTGACATTAAACAACAAAATAAACACATGCCAAAATAATGTACTGTGGAACGCGGTTGGAGAATCAAGTATGAATGCCATAATATATATTTATGATGATCGTAATGACACGAAGCATACATAATAATATAATGTTAATCTACACTTTGATGTTGAAAGACCAGTATGAAAAAAAATAAGTATGAAGTTGTCTTGAATGTCTTTAAAGAATTGTTTCCTGTTTCATGTTTACGATCAAAATGCGTTTTTCAGACTCATCTCATAAAATAGCAAACTCCGGATGAAGCTTCATAGGATTGTAATTGGTATGTAAAAATACTAGAAAAAAAGTACTAGACACCATATTGTGACGGTGAACACGAGTGACAGTGAAACCGCCCCATCTGCTTCATGCTTGTCGAGGGGTGGTCGGGTAGCCTAGTGGTTAAAGCTTTCGCTCATCACGCCGAAGACCCGGGTTCGATTCCCGACATAGGTACAATGTGTGAAGCCAATTTCTGGTGTCCCCCGCCGTGATATTGCTGGAATATTGCTAAAAGCGGCGTAAAACCATACTCACTCACTCACCCACCCACCCACCCATCACCCAAACCACCCACTCACTCACTCACTCACTCACTCATGCTTGTCGTGTAGATCTGGCTTGAAACAAGAAACAAACAAATTCGAAACATTCTAAAAATTTAGATCTATGCATAAAGAATGAGAGAGACAAAATACTATCGACAAGTATGTATGACAAGAGGGATAACTTCAACTTTCCAGTTGTCATATTTCCCTTTATATCGAGTAATATGCCAACGACTGCAATGGTGTCTACATTTCACAACTTAGAATCATGAGGTACAAACTGTTTCTACGCAGATTTCAGAGAGCGTTATACGGCTCTTGCCCAAACGATGTTTGATCAAGGTAACAACATTTTAGATTGTAGAAAATATAAGTTTTCCAAACGTGGAGGACCATATGGTTCCGTGTTTGTTGAGGTGAACACATGACTTGTCATTGCATGTGTTTGTTGAGGTGAACACATGACTTGTCCTTGCATGTGTTTGTTCAGGTGAACACTTGACTTGTCATTGCATGTGTTTGTTGAGGTGAACACATGACTTGTCATTGCATGTGTTTGTTGAGGTGAACACATGACTTGTCCTAGCATGTGTTTGTTGAGGTGAACACATGACTTGTCCTAGCATGTGTTTGTTGAGGTGAACACTTGACTTGTCATTGCATGTGTTTGTTGAGGTGAACACTTGACTTGTCATTGCATGTGTTTGTTGAGGTGAACACATGACTTGTCATTGCATGTGTTTGTTGAGGTGAACACATGACTTGTCCTAGCATGTGTTTGTTGAGGTGAACACATGACTTGTCCTAGCATGTGTTTGTTGAGGTGAACACATGACTTGTCCTTGCATGTGTTTTTTCAGGTGAACACTTGACTTGTCATTGCATGTGTTTTTTCAGGTGAACACATGACTTGACATAGCATGTGTTTGTTGAGGTGAACACATGATGTGTCATTGCAAGTGTTTGTTGAGGTGAACACATGACTTGTCATTGCATGTGTTTGTTGAGGTGAACACATGACTTGTCCTAGCATGTGTTTGTTGAGGTGAACACATGACTTGTCCTAGCATGTGTTTGTTGAGGTGAACACATGACTTGTCATTGCATGTGTTTTTTCAGGTGAACACTTGACTTGTCATTGCATGTGTTTTTTTCACGTGAACACATGACTTGTCATAGCATGTGTTTGTTGAGGTGAACACATGATGTGTCATTGCAAGTGTTTGTTGAGGTGAACACATGACTTGTCATTGCATGTGTTTGTTCAGGTGAACACTTGACTTGTCATTGTATGTGTTTGTTGAGGTGAACACATGACTTGTCATTGCAAGTGTTTGTTGGGGTGAACATTGGACTTGTCATTACATGTGTTTGTTGAGGTGAACACTTAACTTGTCATTGCATGTGTTTGTTGAGGTGAACACTTCACTTGTCATTGTATGTGTTTGTTGAGGTGAACACTTGACTTGTCATTGCATGTGTTTGTTGAGGTGAACACTTGACTTGTCATTGTATGTGTTTGTTGAGGTGAACACTTGACTTGTCATTGCATGTGTTTGTTGAGCTGAACACTTGACTTGTCATTGCATGTGTTTGTTGAGGTGAACACTTGACTTGTCATTGCATGTGTTTGTTGAGGTGAACACATGACTTGTCATAGCATGTGTTTGTTGAGGTGAACACTTGACTTGTCATTGCAAGTGTTTGTTGAGTTGAACACTTGACTTGTCATAGCATGTGTTTGTTCGGGTGAACACTTGACTTGTCATTGCATGTGTTTGTTGAGGTGAACACTTGACTTGTCATTGCATGTGTTTTTTCAGGTGAACACTTGACTTGTCATTGCATGTGTTTTTTCAGGTGAACACATGACTTGTCATTGTATGTGTTTGTTGAGGTGAACACTTGACTTGTCATTGCATGTGTTTGTTGGGGTGAACACTTCACTTGTCATTGTATGTGTTTGTTGAGGTGAACACATGACTTGTCATTGCATGTGTTTGTTGAGGTGAACACATGACTTGTCCTAGCATGTGTTTGTTGAGGTGAACACATGACTTGTCCTAGCATCTGTTTGTTGAGGTGAACACATGACTTGTCATTGCATGTGTTTTTTCAGGTGAACACTTGACTTGTCATTGCATGTGTTTTTTTCACGTGAACACATGACTTGTCATAGCATGTGTTTGTTGAGGTGAACACATGATGTGTCATTGCAAGTGTTTGTTGGGGTGAACACATGACTTGTCATTGCATGTGTTTGTTCAGGTGAACACTTGACTTGTCATTGTATTGGTTTGTTGAGGTGAACACTTGACTTGTCATTGCAAGTGTTTGTTGGGGTGAACACTTGACTTGTCATTACATGTGTTTGTTGAGGTGAACACTTAACTTGTCATTGCATGTGTTTGTTGAGGTGAACACTTGACTTGTCCTAGCATGTGTTTGTTGAGGTGAACACTTGACTTGTCATTGCATGTGTTTGTTCAGGTGAACACTTGACTTGTCATTGCAAGTGTTTGTTGAGGTTAACACATGACTTGTCATTGCATGTGTTTGTTGAGGTGAACACTTGACTTGTCATTGCACTTGTCTGTTGAGGTGAACACTTGACTTGTCATTGTATGTGTTTGCTGAGGTGAACACTTGACTTGTCATTGCAAGTGTTTGTTGAGGTCAACACTTGACTTGTCATTGCAAGTGTTTGTTCAGGTGAACACTTGACTTGTCATTGCAAGTGTTTGTTGAGGTGAACACTTGACTTGTCATTGCATGTGTTTGTTGAGGTGAACACTTGACTTGTCCTAGCATGTGTTTGTTGAGGTGAACACATGACTTGTCATTGCATGTGTTTGTTGAGGTGAACACTTGACTTGTCATTGCAAGTGTTTGTTGAGTTGAACACTTGACTGGTCATAGCATGTGTTTGTTCAGGTGAACACTTGACTTGTCATTGCATGTGTTTGTTGAGGTGAACACTTGACTTGTCATTGCATGTGTTTGTTCAGGTGAACACTTGACTTGTCATTGCATGTGTTTGTTGAGGTGAACACTTCACTTGTCATTGTATGTGTTTGTTGAGGTGAACACTTGACTTGTCATTGCATGTGTTTGTTGGGGTGAACACTTCACTTGTCATTGTATGTGTTTGTTGAGGTGAACACTTGACTTGTCATTGCATGTGTTTGTTGAGGTGAACACTTGACTTGTCATTGTATGTGTTTCTTCAGGTGAACACTTTACTTGTCATTGCAAGTGTTTGTTGAGGTGAACACTTGACTTGTCATTGCATGTGTTTGTTGAGGTGAACACATGACTTGTCATTGCATGTGTTTGTTGAGGTGAACACTTGACTTGTCATTGCAAGTGTTTGTTGAGTTGAACACTTGACTGGTCATAGCATGTGTTTGTTCGGGTGAACACTTGACCTTTCATTGCAAGTGTTTGTTGAGGTGAACACTTGACTTGTCATTGCATGTGTTTGTTGAGGTAAACACATGACTTGTCATTGCATGTGTTTTTTCAGGTGAACACATGACTTCTCATAGCATGTGTTTGTTGAGGTGAACACATGATGTGTCATTGCATGTGTTTGTTGAGGTGAACACATGACTTGTCCTAGCATGTGTTTGTTGAGACGAACACATGACTCGTCCTAGCATGTGTTTGTTGAGGTGAACACATGACTTGTCCTAGCATGTGTTTGTTGAGGTGAACACATGACTTGTCCTAGCATGTGTTTGTTGAGGTGAACACATGACTTGTCCTAGCATGTGTTTGTTCAGGTGAACACATGACTTGTCATTGCATGTGTTTGTTCAGGTGAACACTTGACTTGTCATTGTATGTGTTTGTTGAGGTGAACACATGACTTGTCATTGCAAGTGTTTGTTGGGGTGAACACTTGACTTGTCATTACATGTGTTTGTTGAGGTGAACACTTAACTTGTCATTGCATGTGTTTGTTCAGGTGAACACTTGACTTGTCATTGTATGTGTTTGTTGAGGTGAACACTTGACTTGTCATTGCATGTGTTTGTTGAGGTGAACACTTGACTTGTCATTGTATGTGTTTGTTGAGGTGAACACTTGACTTGTCATTGCATGTGTTTGTTGAGGTGAACACTTGACTTGTCATTGGATGTGTTTGTTGAGGTGAACACTTGACTTGTCATTGCATGTGTTTGTTGAGGTGAACACATGACTTGTCATTGGAAGTGTTTGTTCAGGTGAACACTTGACTTGTCATTGCAAGTGTTTGTTGAGTTGAACACTTGACTGGTCATAGCATGTGTTTGTTGAGGTGAACACATGACTTGTCATTGCATGTGTTTGTTGAGGTGAACACATGACTTGTCCTAGCATGTGTTTGTTGAGGTGAACACATGACTTGTCATTGCATGTGTTTTTTCAGGTGAACACTTGACTTGTCATTGCATGTGTTTTTTTCACGTGAACACATGACTTGTCATAGCATGTGTTTGTTGAGGTGAACACATGATGTGTCATTGCAAGTGTTTGTTGAGGTGAACACATGACTTGTCATTGTAAGTGTTTGTTGGGGTGAACACTTGACTTGTCATTGCATGTGTTTGTTGAGGTGAACACATGACTTGTCCTAGCATGTGTTTGTTGAGGTGAACACATGACTTGTCATTGCATGTGTTTGTTGAGGTGAACACTTGACTTGTCATTGTATGTGTTTGTTGAGGTGAACACATGACTTGTCATTGCA